AAAAATCAACAGAAATCCTGGAGCTGAAAAAAATTCAGTTGACCAACTGAAAAATACATCAGAGTGCTTCAACAACAGAATTGATCAAGGAGAAAAAAAGAATTACTAAACTTAAAGGCTGGCTAGTTGAAAATACACAGAGGAGAAAAAAAAAGAATGAAAAGGAATAGTTTACAAGATCTAGAAAATAGCTTCAAAATGACAAATCTAAGAATGATTGACCTTAAAGGGGATGTAGGAAAAAGAGATCAGGGTAGACAGTTTATTCAAAGAAATAATAACAGAGAACTTTCCAAACCTAGAGAAATATATAAATAACCAGGTCCAAGAAAGTAAAAGAATACCAAACAGTTTCAGCCCAAATAAGACTACCCCAAGGCATATAATAATGAAAATCTCAAAGATCAGGGACAAAAACAGTATACTTAAAGACTATTTATAACCACAATTCAGTTATCAACTTCAATTAAAAGTCAATACATTTGTCATTGATGCAATAATTTTATAAGATTGACCCAATAATGTACTTTATAGTATTTTTTTCCTCTCTGCACCTGCTACAGTCTGGAGTCATGTCTAGCCTTTAGTTAGAATATTTCAATTAGTCCCTGTTAATCTGGAACTGTTCTTCAGCCTTTTGTTATTATTTATAATGCTGACATTTTTGAACAGTTTAATAGAACAGTTCTCACTTTGGGTTTGTCTAACCAGGAAGCTAACTCTTCCTGGTTAGCTACTGATTATGTGTGCTTTGGTGAAATATCACATATATAAGCGATGTGTTCTTTTAGAATATACACAACCAGAAGTCTATGATGTTCATATGTGTCTCATTTATTATGCTAATTTTGATCACCTGGTCAAGGTGTTATATATGTCCCCATATATATATTCCCATATATATATGTAATCTTTATATATGTATAATCTTTATACATATAAAGATTTATATAATCTTTATATATATATATATGTGTGTGTGTGTGTGTATATATATACATATATATATATGGGAAGAGATATCTATACACAATAATATATACATATATGGGGATATATACATATATATGGGAAAATATATAGTCACAAGGTAGGGTGGGTGGGGGTGTGTGTGTGTGTGTGTGTGTGTGTGTGTGTGTGTGTATAAAGAGAGAGAGAGAGAGACAGGGTATCACATAACGTGGGGCAAATTTTTTTATGTTTTAGTAGAGGTAAGTTCTTACTGTGTTGCCCAGACTTGTCTCAAAATACGGAGCTCAAGCAATCAAACCTTCTGCGTCAGACTGTGCTGGAATTAATAAGTAAGCCACCACACCAGGCATTTATACACTTTTTATTCGTGTTTTTTCTGCAGTTTGTTTTTACTGAATAGTGTATTTATTTGTTTGTTTGTTGTTTGTTAGTTTGTTGAGATGGAGTCTTGCTCTGTCACCCAGGCTGGAGTGCAGTGACACAATCCAGGCTTATTGCAACCTCCACCTCCACCTCCCAGGTTCAAGTGATTCTCCTGCCTCAGCCTCCCAAGTAGCTAGGTTTACAGGGATGTGCCACCATTCCAGACTAATGTTTGTATTTTTAGTAAGAGACAGGGTTTCACCATGTTGGCCTGGCTGGTCTCAAACTCCTGACCTCAAGTGATCTGCCCTCCTTGGCCTCCCGCTGTCCTAGGATTACAGGCATGAGCCACCAGGCCTGGCCAAATAGTGTAGTTATTTAAATTCATCTATTTATTGAGTACATATGTGATAAACACTATTCTAAATCATGGTGATATAGCAGTGATCAAAACAGAAAAATTCCCACTCTCATAGAGCTTATATTATTTTAATTGATACAATTAGTATTTATTATGTACAACATGTTGTTTTCAAATACATGTACATTGTGGAATGGCCAATTTAAGCCAATTAACATATATATCATATCACTTCACATACTTACTCTTTTTGGGTATGATGAGAGCACACACCCAAATTTAATCTCTTAGCAATTTTCAAAACTACAATGCACTGCTATTAACCTCAGCCACCATGTTGTACAATAGGTTTTGTGAACTTATTCCTCCTATTCAACTGAAATTTTGTATCCTGGGCACCAGTTTTTTACTTCATTCTGTATCCTATATTCCATAGTTTATTCAGCCAGTCACTACTGCTTCAGTGAACACCCTGCAATGTGGAATATGCATCTAGATGCACATGTGTGTATATCTGTGTACATGTCTTCATGTGATTATGTGTATTTGTGTATATATATATGTGAATGTTAATATAAGTATATATGTATGTGTGCACAAACTTGCTTATCTGTAAGCTAATTCCCTAGAAGAGAAATTGATGGGCCAAACACCTTTGGTTTTACATTTTGGCAGATACTTCTAAACTTCCCTCCAATTTCTGTTCTCAGTACAGAGTATGAATGCTTTTATCTCCCTATTCTCATCAAACTGGGCAATATCAAATATTTTATTTTTTTCATATTAATAGGTGTCTTCTTAGCTGGATGGCAATAAAGAATCCAATTATTTTCAAGTCTGTTGTGTAAGACGCTTTTTTGTGTCTGATTGTTGCTATGCTACTAGTCTTATCTTTCAAGATACCTGCCTCTGGTGAGCAGAGATTGATCACAGGGTGACTATCTAGATCTTTAGAAAATTTGCCTAATTCTTGATTAAAGTCTGTCATGGAAAAAAATCTTTAACGTCTGAACTCCACGCTTGTTCACATTGCTGTGATGTGGCAATGTTAGTTAGGGCTTAGGAACATTTGAATAGGAAGCTAATGAATGACATTGCATAACCACAGATAATTAACTTAAAAAGTATATTCAGACATGACCCATTTATGTTATTTGCTGTATGCTCTGAGGAATGGGCTAAAATAGAGTCTTTAAAATTGCTACCATGTCACTCAAACATTTCTAGAATGTATATGATAAGCTAAAAAGAAAACATGGGATCATGCCAGATGACCTTAGAATTATTTTAAATGTTTAACTAGATGGCCTGATACCTCTTTAAGTTACTACTCAGGATTTTTTAGGGGTCTGGGAGAGTGTTTGGGTAGAATTCCACCATGTAGGGGAGAAATTCAGATTAAATGGTTTGTTAAAGAAATAATTAATTTTTCCATCTGTCCCTTATCCCTTCATCCTCCCTTCACTTTTTTCCTATAAGTTCTCTCCCCTCCATTCATCCTCCAAAAAGTAGGTGTGAATATTTTGAAAAGGAAGCCTCTTTCTTACATGCAATGAATTTTGCCCACAATGGGCTAATTGCCAAAGCAGTTGGCCACCTGTGGGAGTAATTAGTCACGTGTCAGTCTTCTGAGGTTAGTCAATTGCAGTTGCAATTTATTATACACACAGTTTTGCATTTACAAATAATCATGGCTGTGAAAACCACCCACAGAGAAAGAAAAGACTAGGCAGAAACTTTTAAAAATTGCCATATTACTTTATATTTATGAATGAAGCTTGGGTAACATTCAGGTCTATTCATTATCCTAATCCAGAAAAACTGGAGTTAAGGATACTAAAGAAAAGGTATTCATAAATTATTCTTCATTGTGGGGTGAGCAGGAGAAAAGATCGTGTTATCTTTGTAATTTTATTTGATAAACTAAAAAATCGTCCTTGATTGGATATATTAACATTTTAACCTTGAAACATTTTATATTTAAGGTAAATATAATGAGAACTTTGTTCTCATCAGTGGGGCAGCAATATGATAGCAGCCATCTTGGCTAATCATGCTCTGGTTAATGTGGTACGCTGTTTATTATTTTACATCCATGGAAGATGTTCCACCCTAAACTAATTGAATTCAGTATATTTATCAATAGTTGCTATATATACATCAGTCATGATACCAGGAAGTAGAACATTTAAAAAATATGAACAAAAGATAATTCAAGGAATTCTCTCTCTCTCCCCCCCAAGTATGTGTGTGTGTGTGTGTGTGTGTGTGTGTGTGTGTGTGTGCGTGTGTGTAAATGTTAGGAACAGGCAGTAAAACTAACATTTAAATATATCAGAATTCTCTTGCGTACAAGAAAAACAGAACTTTACCCATGTTGCCTTAAATAATGAAGGCTATATTTATTATCTATTTAATTGAAAAATGAAAAAAAAAGTGGGATAAATTTGAGTGTTTTTTCAGTAGCTCGGCAATATCAGCCAGGACCCATTTTCCTTTAATTTTTCTGCCCCGCTTTTCATAGTGCCTGCACCCTCCTGAAGCTGGCTCATGGTTCTCCCAGAGAGGAACCATTTCTTTCCAGAAATGCTCAGCAAATATCTCCTTATATGTCATTGGCCCAGACAGAGTCATGGGCTCATCCCTAAAAGAATCCCTGTGGCTTAGGAATGACATATACAAATTGGCTTAAAAGCCAATAATCCACCTCGAGAAACAACCCTACTTAAACAACACTGGGGGGAAGTCGGAGGCCTAGGTAGGTAGGAGGAGGGAGGAGATTGATGCTAGCAACAACCACTGTCCACTACAGCAAATAACAGTAATCCAAGTGCTTCAATAGGATATAGACATGGCACTGTGTAGGGTGGACTGTATTGTGCATTCACACTATTACTGCAGTAGCTATAGGTGCCATTAAGGTTTATATTTCTAGGATGCTAAAAAAAAGGAACATATTTGAAGGGCTTTTTGGCTTACCATATTACAAGGAATTCTATGGCCACCTACTTTATAGTTGCTTCTGAAGGCTTCGCTGGGCTTTCAGAATACAACCCTTGCTTTATTTTAAAATAATAATAATAATAAGAGACAGGGTCTTTCTCTGTCACCCATGGTGGAGTACAATGGCACAATATCGGCTCACTGAAACTTCCACATCCCACGCTCAGATGATCCACCTACCTCAGCCTCCCAAGTAGCTGGGACTATGAGCATGCACCATCATGCCTGGCTAATTTTTGTACTTTTTTAGAGACAGGCTTCTGCCATGTTGCCCAGACTGGTCTCTATCTCCCGAACTCAAGTGATCTGCCTGCCTTGGCCTCCCAAAGTGCTGGGATTACAGATGTGAGCCACTGTGCCCGGCCAACCCTTGCTTTACTGAAGGTAATAACTCAGAGGCATTCAATGGGAAGTCAAAAAGGAGAAAATATGTATGAATGTACACACAGTTGATCCTCATTGTTTGCAGATATCATATTTGTAAATTTGCCTACTTGGTAAAATTTATTTGTAACCCCCAAATCAATACTCATGGTTCTTTTTCAGTCATTCACAGACATGTGCAGTGATGGAAAATTTGCATCATCTAATGCACATGTTCCCAGCTAAACAAGGTGATACTCTGCCTTCGTGTTTCAGTTGTCATACTGTAAACAAGGTCCTTTTTGCAGTCCACTTAATGCTATGTGTTGGGGCTTTTTTGTTCCTGATTTTACCGTTTAAAATGGTGCCCAAGCCATTGTGTAGAAGTGTTGTCTATGGTTTCTAAAGGCAAGATGTACCGTATGAGAAAATCTGTGTGTCAGGTAAGCTTTATTCAGGCTTGAGTTATAGTGCCATTGGTTGTGACTTCTATGTTAATAAATCAAAAGTATATATTAAGTAAGGTGTCTTTAACAGAAACACACATAAAGTGAGATTATATATTGATTGATTGGTGAAAATGTTGTGACCAGAAACACATAGGAACTTAACTCTTTTTTTCTCTAGGAGCAGTGGGTTCAGTGTTGGCTAATGCAGTGTTCACCACAACTTTATTGGACATAACTAGTGCAGATAATTAGAATCAACTGTACATGTGACTATATTTAAACAATAAAGAAAAAGCTATCTTGGTTTAATATCAGGACAGGGCTTTAACCACAGAGGTCTATTATGTAAAGGGGTAAACACATTGTTTTCATTCCTCTTAGTTGAAAGGAAAGAACTCAGTTTTCAAGTACTGTTTGAGGAGATATACCTAATCTATTGGAAAGCTGTTTTTCTCAACTGGGACCCTTCTAACTGTATCTTTTCTAGCTTCTCTGAAATGATAAGCCAGGGTTTATTGGCTTCAATGAAATATTGAAAGCTAAGTAGCACTAGCTTCATAGGATGTAGTGAAAAATAACACATGTTGAAATCCACAGTCTTGTCACAGACCACCTTTGTTACCTTCCTCCCATTTATTGTCCTCAAGCCAAACTAAGCACAACTTTGAGCTGCAACAGCAGATCCAACAACTACATGGGGATGGGAAGTGTGAGGAGGCATCCTCCACATCCAGGGCCCTGCTTGCATCATTCCATTTGACTTTTGCTTTGCTCAAGCTTGGCGCTGTGTTGCCAGCAGCAAATATGCTGACTGAAAACTGTCACAACAGCAATCATTACAATCCAGGAGTTGAGTTTGACTGGAACATATGTCTTCAATTTTAATAGCTCAGCTTCCCAGATGCCCTAAAGGAGTAATATTGCCTGAGAAGGAGCTTTTCATGTAAGAATAATTTGTGTTAAGTAGCTCAGTGATCTGTTTGTTAAGTTACAGCTGACAGTTTGTTTATATTTCTAAAGGGGCATGATGAATGGGGGAGAAGTTGATGCTAATTAGCCTAAATTGTTCCTAAGAATGTAGAGGGGTTTGCCAGTTTCATTGTTTCTGTTTCTTTGCACATTTTAAATAATTGAATGGAGCTTAGACCATTCATCATAATTTCAGGCAAGATGGAAATAAATGAATTTAGCACGGGTCCACATGTGTGATGGAAGATGTCACTTTAAAGGGCAATTAAATAAGACATCAACTTGGGGCTAAAGCAGACTATTTTAATCCATTTGTATAAAAATATCAAACATGAAAGTTTTCATTTACTCCATTAATTATCTTCATCATCATAGGACACAGACCTTCTTTTTGAAAACCCACCTATTCCCATTAAAGAAGTAATGGTGTTGTATAAAATTTGAGCCTTTGGCTTCTGGACAAAAGATCCGTGGCCTTACTCTCTAAGACAGTCTCCTCCCCTCCCCTGATGTCATCAAATGGCTTTGAGAAACCTGTTTGCTGTTGGGCTCATTGCCTGACCAGGTGGAAAATGAAAAAGGCAGCAGAAATGTTTTTGAAAATTGGAATTCATATAGTAGTGTCCCTTCTATAGTCAGAGCTAATAAGGTTCCAGTAGAACATATTTTAGATATTTCTCAAGAGTTCACCTGTATGTATTTCTCACATATAACCCATGCTGGGTTACATGGTGAAATGGTCTTTAACTTAGGATGAAACTTCCTATCTGAATTGCTACAGCACTTCCTCTAGGTAGGAAGGTTAATGTGAATGGGAATTTCATAAGACTGTAGAATAATATATATATATATACGTTTTGTTAACACACATATTTTGAGAATTAAAATAAGAAAAATGAACCTAAATTTAGAAAGTCTGATTTTTTCCAACCTTTTAATCCTCATTGGAGGCCATTCTTTTTTAATTTATGCACATAAAATACCACAGGAAGAGATGGTATAAATTTGTGGACTGTGGAGAATGAGTGAACATTTTTGAATCAGGATCTTTAAAAGGGGTGAAATTTGAGTATGATTAAGTTAGGAAAAAGCCTCGCTTACGGCGGAAGTCAGAGACTCTGTATACGTTATGGGCATGTCATGGCTTTTAAAAAGTTATGTTAGACTTCTATACAAATTGTGAAGGAATTTGTATAACCCCAAACAAAATTCTGTGTGGTTCTGAACTTTTCCTAAGTTGAAAAGAGAGAGAGAGAGTGAGAAAGAAATATTGCTGGTTAGTATTCTGATCAGGGACAAACCTTACTGTCAGGTGGGCTAGTCGTTTGCACTGTCTGGGTGTTTTCTTGGTTACTAATTTTCTCGGAAGGAAATGATCCTATGGCTTATGCTAGCCATGTTTGTGCATATATGCTCTGCAATTGGCATTTATTAAGGAGACCTTCAGTTTGATGGATGACTGTCAAGAGCTGAGCTTGCTGGCTTTAAAGACAGTTGATTTTGCTTGAATTTTGTTATATTAACTCATTAGAACTCTGCATTGCTTCAACTTACTCTTTGTTTACTTTCTTACAATTAAAATTTTAGAACAATTGATTTTTAGAGACTTGGCAGGAGCCCATTTTACACTTGGAGACTTAGTCTGACAGAAAAATATGCACCAGAACAAATATTCATAATAAAAGCATGTGAGTATTAAAACTAAGATTTTTGTAGTCTCTTTAATTGCTGCCCAGTTAATTAGCAGCTATTAAACATAAAATTGCTTATTACTTATCTTTACTTTGTATAATTAAATGCCTTGTTCCTCTACTTTCTTTAAAAGTGAATCCTACAAAAGCAACAACTATAGAAATATTTTCAATTCAGGATATTTAAAATTAGAGCTTTATGCATTATAGTAGCAGCAACATAAGCAAATAATTAGGAAAATGAAAGGCTATCTGACTCTAAAGATACAATTTTAAGAGGAAAAAATATACTGCATATGCATTTAAACATTTGATTGTAAATAACTAATGCATCCCAATTATATTTTTAATTTTATAATATAAAAATCTCCTAAGCTTTAGTGACACATTTCAAGTTAAAAGTTGTATTTCATTTTCTCCTTTGAAACCACCCTCCCACAAAAGTGCACATGAAAATGCCGAAAATGAGATGTCCTTTTCCAATATGCATCCATAGGATGAACCATATTTCTTATTAAATTTGATGTACCCACTAACTCAAGAGGCACACAATGGTGATGTGTTTGGTGTGTGTGTTTCTTGCAATATTTTAAAGCTAATCTCTACCAAAAACTCAATGCTTGAGGGAGAAGGATGTACTTTCACAAAAAACAAACATGGTTGGAGAGCGTTTGCACTAAGATTACAGACTCACTCATGGTTGTCTCTTTTCTGGCTTGTTGTAACTAGTTGATGAGTTAATTATCTGTGAGGTCTATTTACCAAAGAGGGTAGCATGGTGAGTAGATGCATTCATCACATCATCCCAATATCTAGGTGAGTGAGAAAGGAAAATAAAGAATAAATAAAGAAGGAAAAATAAATAACATCTACTTATGAAAATAAATACCGTGTAGGGCCATAATTTTTAGTTAGTGTTTTAAGTAAGAAGTTTTTAAAGTAATTTTATGTGTAGTGCTACTGCAGAATGGTACGAGCTCCCTTGACTAGCCTTCCCAAAGGAAAAAGGAAAATGAAACTCAGTTGGTTTCAGGTCACAGATAACCTAACTTTCTTTACTCCCCAAAAGGAACTTGAGTTGGCAGAACAAAATAGACTTCTTTGCCAATGATGACAACCTTTTAAGTTTAGTGATGAAATTGATTCATTCTTATTTTATTCAATGATGGAAAATACAACTAATTGGGTCCTTATTTGGTCCATGATGCTTAGTTAATGTATTCAAAATTATTACTGGATTGAAAAAATGAATTCACAGATCAGAACTTCTTTTATTGTGGAGGAAACTGGCAGTCATCAAAAGGGCCATTAAAAAACAGTTTAATGAAGAAATACGTGACTATTCACGAAAAGCGTCTAGTCTAAACTTAGCAGGAGGGCCATGGACTCTTTTTTCTCCTGGTTTACAACAGCATAAGAAAATAATGTTGCATCTATTAGACTTCTGCACAAATTTTACCCTCACAAAGTCATTACTTTGTGTAAATAAAATAGAATTATACATGAAAAGCCTGAAACTTAAAGTCTTCCTACTAATTTTATATTAAAATGTATGAGATTGTATCCTTTTGTTTTTAATTGGTATATTATAATAACTAAGACTAATTTTAAATGGCTTTCCCATTTCAACTTAAAAACAATGGCTGGCACTTTTTGGTAGTGTTCCATGTTGTAAGCTCTGTTCTAGGTATTCCATATGGATTAACTCATTTAATTGTTACCATCTCTTGATGTGGGTACTATTGTAAAGGGGATAAAACTGAGATATAAAGAGAATAAGTCAAATGGAATTTCTATTTCTAGGTCCTTGAGGAATCGCCACACTGTCTTCCACAATGGTTGAACTAATTTACACTCCCACCAACAGTGCAAAAATGTTCCTATTTCTCCACATCCTCTCCAGCATCTGTTGCCTCCAGATTTTTTAATGATCGCCATTCTAACTGGCGTGAGATGGTATCGCAATGTAGTTTTGATTTGCATTTCTCTGATGACCAGTGATGATGAGCATTTTTTCATATGTTTGTTGGCCTCATGTATGTCTTCTTTTGTAAAGTGTCTGTTCATATCCTTTGCCCACTTTTGAGTGGGCTTGTTAGTTTTTTTCCTGTAAATCTGTTTTAGTGCTTTGTAAATTCTGGATATCAGCCCTTTGTCAGATGGGTAAACTGCAAAAATTTTTTATTCCATTTGACCCAGCAATCCCATTACTGGGTATATATTCAAAGGATTACAAATCGTTCTACTATAAGGACACGTGCACACGAATGTTCATTGCAGCACTGTTTACAATAGCAAAGACCTGGAACCAACCCAAATGCCCATCGACGATAGATTGGATAGGGAAAATGAGGCACATATACACCATGGAATATTATGCAGCCATCAAAAACTATGAGTTTGTGTCCTTTGTAGGGACACGGATGAACCTGGAAACCACCATTCTCAGCAAACTGACAGAAGAGCAGAAGATCAAACACCGCATGTTCTCACTCATAGGTGGGTGTTGAACAATGAGAACACATGGACACAGGGAGGGGAGCACTACGCACTGGGGTCAGTTGGGGGGAAATCAGGGAGGGACGGTGGGGGGTGGGGAGTAGGGGAGAGATAGCAAGGGGAGAAATGCCAGATGTAGGTGATGGGGAGGAAGGCAGCAAACCACACTGCCACATGCGTACCTATGCAACAATCTTGCATGTTCTTCACATGTACCCCAATACCTAAAATGCAATAAAATAAATAAATGGAAAAAAGAGAATAAGTAACTTGGCCAGTGTCATGCAGCTAGTAAGTGGTACACTGGAGATGTGAATATAGGCATTCTACCTGCAGATTCAGGGCTCTACAATGCAGTCTTTAGTTTGGTTAAGTAGTTGAGGATCCATATACAAACACCTAAATTTAATCAATTTATTATTCAGAAGACAGAATATTTCATTGTGTTGAGAAGACCTAAAATGAACATTACATAACCATACCTATACCCAGAGTAATATCCTTTTATCTTAACTTCCATATCCTAACACAGGACTAACAAAGGAGTTGTAGGCCAGCAGTGTGGTCAAGTTTGTACCTTGTGTGATTGTCACACTGTGGAGGGAATGGGATTTGACCTGCGGCCTAGCCAAACAGTTATAGTATTGAACCATATTATAACAGAGTTGTACTTTGTTTTAAAAATGCAATTATTATTTTTAAAAGGAGATAAAGCAACAATAATAAAAAAATCCAGGCCCCCCAAAGTAGTTTCTACAAAAATTTGTCAAGTTTTCAGAAGTGTTTTGAAGTCTACTTAACAAAGTCCAGCAATATTTAGGTTCAATAAATGAGGCTGGTTTTATCACTAGACTGGAATAATTAATTCTGGGATAAACTAAACTTTAGTCAAGTGAATTACAGCTCATAATGCTTGTTGAAGATAATGCAAGAGTATAAAATGTCATACTTTTTTAAAATTTCAAACTCCTAGACAAAGGGATTTTGATTATTCTGACATCTTTGAAGCTTCTAGCAGAATACAATGTCCATACAGGAAATACTGTGCTGAGAGGATTGAGAATCAATGTGTTCATCTAACTGATGAGAAAAACAGAAATTGTGCATAAAGATAAAATTATCTGAATAAATTGAGCCGATATATGTATATTTTAGTGTTTGTTCACTAAATATTGATAGAATGTTTACTGTGCATTGAAGATACAGGGGTAAGCAAGACAGACAACTCCTTAATAAATTAACATTCTAATGAAGCATACAGAAATAAACAAATAATATAATGTCAGATAATCATAGAGTTGGAGAAAATAAAGCTGGGGAATGGGATAAAAACTGATGTCATCGCATGAGCGTGGAGTGTTGTCTGTTTTAAATAGAAGAGTTAGGGAAGCCTTCTCTGAGATGCTGCTATTTGAGCAAAAATCTAAATAATAAAGAGCAACAGTGGCATTTCTTGTATATTTGACATATAGGGTAAATCATTTTTAACACCCCCCTCCTCTTCAGACACAGTTATTTTTAGTAATAATCATGCAAGGAGAAGAATGATAAACCCCTGTAAAAAAATAAAAAACAGACAATGAAAAAAGAACTTATTAACCTCATGTGTATTATCATGCCAGTTACAAAACTGATGTAAAAGATAAAAATAAACATTACAGTACAATAAAGGAAAAAGGAATAGATTAGCACTTTTAAATTGTATTTGTTTAATAAAAAGAAAAATATTTGTTTAATAAAAAGAAAAAAAAATCATTGTATTTGTTTAATAAAAAGAAAAATATACCTTTATAGCTTGCAGCTTGTACTGTTTTACCATTTAAAATATTTTTTTAGAAGAACTTTATTGAAATACACATGGCATTTATTCCTGTACCATTCAATTCACTATTAAAGTGCGCAATTAATTGGTTTTTAGTATATTCATAGAGTTGTACAATTATTGTTGTAATGAATTTTAGAACATTTTCATCAGCCCCCAAAGAAACCAATACCCTTTAGTCATCACTCCACTTCCACCATATCATCCTTTCCTACCTCAGCCCTAGAAAATCACTAATCTACTTTCTGTGTCAATAGATTTGCTAATTTTGGATACTTCACGTAAGTGGAATAAGACAATGTGTGTTTATTTGTGTCTGGCTTCTTTCACTTAGCATAATGTTTTCAATGTTCATCTACATTGTAGCATGTATCAGTTCATTTCTTTTTATTGTTGAATAACATATTATATGAATATAATATATTATATGAATATAACATATTTTATTTATCCATTTATCAATTGTTGGACATTTGGGTTGTTTCCATTTTTTGGCCACTATGAATAATGCTGCTATGAACATTCATGAGTACATTTTTGATTGGACATGTGTTTTCACTTTTTAAGTATATACCTAGGAGTGTGGAATTGCTGGGTCGTACAGTAACTCTATGTTTAACCTTTTCGGGAACTGCCAGAATGTTTTCCAAAATGGTTGCATCATTTTATTCCCAACAGCAGTGTATGAGGGCTCCACCTTCTCCATGTCCTTGCCAACACTTAACATCTGACTTTTTAATTCTGTCTATCCTATTGGGTATGACATGGTAGTTTATTGTGATTTTGGTTTGTGTTTCCCTGATGGTCAGTGATGTTTAGAATCTTTTTGTTTTCTTATTGGCCATTTATATATCTTCTTTTCACATTTTAAATTGCATTATTTGTCTTTTTATTATTGAGTTGTAAGGGTTCATTATGTATTCTTTGTTTTTTTGAGATGGAGTCTTGCTCTGTCTTCCAGGCTGGAGTACAGTGGCATGATCTTGGCTCACTGCAACCTCCACCTCCTGGGTTCAAGTGATCCACTTGCCTTAGCCTCCTGAGTAGCTAGGACTTACAGGCATGCACCACCACACCCCACTAATTTTTGTATTTTTAGTAGAGATGAGATTTTACAATATTGACCAGGCTGGTCTTGAACTCCTGACTTCAAGTAATCCACCCGCCTTGGCTTTCCCAAAGTGCTTAGATTACAGGCGTGAGCCACCACCATACCCAGCCAATGGTTCATTATATATTCTAGATACAAGTTTTTGCACCAGATACATGATTTACAAATATTTTCTCACATTGTATAGTCTTTTCATTTTCTTGATGGACAGCACAGAAGTTTTGACCTTGATAAAGTCCAATTTTTATTCTTTTATTGTTTTGCTATTGTCATATCTAAGAAAACATGGCCTAATTCAAGGTCATAAAGATTTATACATATTTTTTTTTCCAGAAAGTTCATGGTTTTCACTCTTAATGTAGGTCTTAGGTCCATTTTGAGTTGGTGTGAGATAAGGGTCCAACTTCATTCTTTTGGGTGTGAATATGCACTTGTGCCAGCATTATGTTTTGAAAAGACTTGTTTTTTCCTCATTGAGTTATTTTGGCACCTTCACTGTAAATCAGTCAATTATAAATGTCGGGGTTTGTTTCTGGACTCTCAATTCTATCCTGACCTATATGACTGCCCTTATGCCAGTATTATACAATTTTGAATCTATTGTTTGTGTAGGAATTTGAATCTTTTTTTTTTATGTAATCTATTGAGTATATAGTAACTCAGGAGTTGGAGACACAAACTGTACCCAAAGTGATCTATAACTATTCTGAATCTATTGGGAACTTACTCTTGAATTGCGTTCAAGCATTTATGACTGTGTATATTGGAAGCCAACTATATAACTAGGGATCTCTGAATTAGCTTTCATGTAGAATATAGTGTTTATTGAAGGACAAATAACATATTTTGGTAGAAACAGCATTTTATCATTGACATTTAAAATTGCTGGTGCATAGCGATAAATGAAAAGTAGACTGAACTGACTTTAAGTTGGTTTTGTTATTGTTTTAAAGTTCTCCATCAACAGTACATCTCCAAATTTCCTATATGCAGGACCAACTGCTCCTATCACCAGCTTACCCTTGGGTACTATTAAGGAGGATTATATCATTTGAGATCTAGAGAAAGAGCCTCCTAAGAAGAAAGAACAGAAATGCTAAAACCTTATATCACAAGCAAGTTTGAGATTTTTAAGGAATTGAGATAAGGCCATTATTGTAGCTAGAGCATAGAGGTGAGGGTGCATGGTAGGACGTAAAGTGGGAAGGACTGCCTTTATAGTAGTGCCTTTTATCTAGGCCAACCACAGGATTAATGGTTCAAACTGTGGCACTTCTGAGAGTGAAAGAGACCAGTTTTAATAATTATGTCATGACAACAAGCTTAATGGAACTGTCCCAGGAAGATTAGGATGAATGGTCACCATGCTTAAAGGATATGGTACAGAGCTGAATTTTAACTACCCATAGAATTTAACCAAAAAGGTCAACTGTGATAATGGCTAAATGCATTTCTTAAATGCAAGTGAGCAATCAGCTGACTTAACACCATTAATAAGTTATGAATTAGGGAGACTGAGTAGTATGTATAGTGTAGTGGGTTAGAGTAGTGCTTATCAATCTTCAGCATGTGTGAGAGGCACATGGAGGGCTTGGTTAAACATAGATGGCTGGGTCCCACTCTCTAAAAGTATGATTCAGCAAGTTCTGCATTTTTAACAAGCTCCCAAGTGACCCTGATGCTTCCAGTCTATGGGGGGACCAGACTTTGAGTAGCACTGGTTTAGACTTAAGAGACGACACTCTAGAGTTAGACAGACTTCATTTAAATTTCAGCTTTCATGTTTACTAACTGGGTGGCCTTAGGCAAGTTAAATATCCTTTCCACATCTCTTTTCCTCATCTGGTAAAATGGGATTATAATCCCTGTGTTATATAAATGTTATGAAGAGTAAATGTGATAAAACAGTTGCCTCTGTATTTGGCATTACTGTAATCACTGAACATGTGTTATTGTTATTGTAGTTAAAAAGAAGAATCATGGTGAGTAATAATTATCAGGTAAAACTATAAACATGTTTCAGATACTGCATTGTAAATCAACCCTAAAAGTATGTAGCTGCAGCTACATACCTAGAATAGTGTATCAATACCTGGAAAATAATGGGCTGTGAATACTTGTTGACTGAAAAAGCAATTGGCGAATTCACTTAACGAATTCACTTAATGAAAAAACAATTGGTGAAGTCACTTAACTGTGTGGAGAGAAATAATTGCTTTTCATCCTATTATACCTCTTTTATTCTCAGAGCCTACATTCAGCATAAACCGGAGCACACAAAATTCCTGCCTCTCAGTTGTGAACAATTTGATTTATTAAGTCAGTTAGGATAGAATTAAACTTGAAATTGATGAGGCAGTTACAGTTGAGAGCTTCCTGGTGTATGAATGTGGAATGAACTTTAGGCAACAATGCTAGTGATATGTTCAGATAGAGGTGTGGTAGCTGTAGAAGTATCTACTGCAAAAATTAGGTTTACTTAGGTTGCTTTACTGAATTATACTAGTGTTGAACACGAAGTTCAAAATATCCTCATTTAATATTACTGAGGAAACTCTTTAAAAAAATCCTAATTTCTATGGGAAAAATAATAGACCAAACTACTGTGAAGAGAGGCCTACAGAAAAGGATGTGCTAATATTAGATCTGAATGATTTCTCTTTTGTCTAGTGGCCATCTGATTTCCACATGGTAAAATAGGTACTTCAGGATGGGTAAGGAAAAGGAAGAAGGAAAGGAACTAACATTTTTTTGAATATTTGCTATGGGCTAGGCACTCCACTGTGTGCTAAGAGATTTACATATTCTAATTCATTCATTCTTCATAACCATCATGTTAGATGGGTATTATCACTCCCTTTCATTTCTGAGGACTAAAGTTTTAAGAAGACAGAGGGAGAAATAGGTGGTGTCCCTGTGAATCCCACTCTTTCTTTTTAAAAATGCTTTGTATTGTGGCAAATGCTTAATATTCTTTTTTATATTTTTAAAACATTTCAGCTTTTATTTTAGATACAGGATATACACGTGCAGATTCATTACATGGGAATATCGTATGATATTGAGGTTTAGAGTACGGATCCTGTCATCCTGTCACCCAGGTACTGAGCACAGTGCCTTATGGATAGTTTTTTTCTTAAAGCCACTCCCCCTACCCTCTAATAGTCCAGAGTGACTGTTGTTCTTATATTTCTGTCTATGTGTGCTCAGTTCTTATAATTGAGAACATGCTGCATTTGGTTTTCTGTTCCTGTGTTAATTTGCTTAGGATTACAACCTCTAGCCCCATCCATGTTGCTGCAAAGGACATGATTTCATTCCTTTGTTATGACTGTGTAGTATTCCATGGTGTATATGTACCACATTTTCTTTTTTTACCAGTATCTATATATGGTTATGCAGTTTTCCAGCAATGTGGCAGAACTTGCTATATTTGTTATAGTTTCCTAGTTTGTTACTAAGACCACTTAGGTAATGAAGAGATTCTGGTGTAGTAATTGAATATTGATAATTCTTGCTGAGCCTTTATGTTTATTCAGAGTTGACTTAATTCTTTTACATGGTTTTCTCTTTACTGCAGCATCTTACTTAATAATTCCTAGGCTAGCATTTGAAGATTCGGTAGTTGAAGTGCAGAATAAAAGAGAAGATTCAAAATATTTCAATTCCTCCTACTTGTTACTGTATTTTATCACTGTAAGCAATATAAAGCAACAAAACTGTTAAGCCAAAAATGGTTTTTGGCTTAATAACGTACTAGTTCCCTCTTTGTTTGTGGGCCTTAATTATAAATTAACCAATCAGAAATTTCTGTTTGATGTAACAGTCTTGGGAGACCGGGTTCACTTGGCGACAGCCACATTCTGACAGGCAGAAGCAAGAAGCAAATTATTGTAAGTGTATTGAATGCTGGTCATGAAGTCAGGCCATGTAGGTGGTATGCCTTTGGATCATGTCTTGAGACTCGCCTTTGCCACAGTTGAGTCATTTTCCATGATGTGTCACTAACAATGCGTCTTTTCAATTACAACTCTCTCAAGAAGTTATAAATGATATTACATCTAACATTAGAGGAGACATACCCAAGTATTAGAGATAATTAAATAGGCCATTTAAAAACTCTTCTAACTTAGGTAACATTGTAATGCCTGTATTAACCTACAGTTTTTCTCTTGTTCCCAAATAAAGTTGAAAAGAGTTCACACAAGCACTTTACAGGCATCATGATCAGGGTCTTATAATGTCATTGGTAGTAACTCCTCTTAAAATTAGATTCAGGGGCTGGGTAGAATATTCTTCCAGATTAATAGCATCTTGACTATCCCCCTACCTCTCTCCAAACTAGTTGACAGGATTAAGGAGAATAGATAGAGATAGTTGATAACCATTTAACAATTAATGTATTCATTCTACCTACAACTTTTGGATTAGCCAAAGATAACTGTATATTTGGGCCTGAAAGTTGACCCTGCTACTATCCTTCCAATTATCTTGGAAGAATTCAGGGCAAATGATGTCATAACTTCTATGAGATATCTTAATTATGGAGCATGCTGAATCTTAATTCTTTCTGGAATGGCTCATATTTCCTCTGTGGTGAATAAGCCAGTGACTTCTAACTATGTGCCCTATCATGCTAGTGAAGGAAGAAATATATAAATAAATACATTAGTTTGTTCAATTAATATTTATTAAATACCTACCAAGTACTTGGTGCTAAGTAGTAGTTTTTTGTTTGTTTGTTTGTTTTTGAGGCAGGATCTTGCTCTGTCACCCAGGCTGAAGTACAGTGGAATGATCATGGCTCACCGCAGTCTTGACCTCCTGGGCTCAGGTGATCCTCCCATCTCAACCTCCCAAGTAGCAGGGAGCACAGGTGCACACCACCATGCCTGGATAAAAAAATTTTTTTTGTATCTTTTTGTAGAGATGGGGTCTTACCATATTGCCCAGGCTGGTTTTGAATTCCTGAGGTCAAGCTATCTGCCAGCCTCAGCCTCCAAAAATTCTGGGATCACAAGCATAAGCCACTGTGCCTGGCCCTGAGTAGTTAATAAGACAAAAGTAGCCTGTGCCCTCAGGGACACTGAGCACAATTACAACAGTATATGATGACTGCTACACTAGAAGTTAGGGTTTTTTTGAGCATTGCCAGGGACCTGATCTTACATAGAGTGAAGAAAGATATCTCTAGTTTAGTCTGTTTGGTCTGCTGTAACAAAATACAGTGAACCTGGTAGTTTATAAACAACAAAAATGTACTTCTAAGTTCTGTAGGCTGGGAAATCCAAGATCACTGACAGTTTTGGTGTCTGGTATGGGCCTTCTTTCTGGTTAACAGATGGCAGCTTCTAGCTGGGTCTTCATAGAGTAGAAGGGACAAAACAACTCTCTGGGGCCTCTTCTATAAGGGCACTAATTCCATTCATGAGGCCCCACCCTTGTGACATAATTCCCTACCACAAGCCCCACATCCTAATACAATTACCTTGGTGATTAGACGTCAACCTGTGAATTGGTGGGGACACACACCTTCAGACCATGGCACTAAGAAAGTGACATTTGGATTGGGGATAGGCAGTGAGAATGGCATGTTTCAAATGAATGTTTGGCAGGTTCCAGGGACTGAAGGATGCTCAGTGTGACTGGAAGAGCAAGCGAAACCTTGAGCAGGAAGCACAGGCTAGATAGTAAGAATCTTTTAGGGCATGTTAAGGTAGACTGGATTATAAAGATAATAAGACATTACCGAAGAGTTTTAACCTGGAGCATCATGATCAGATTTGTGTTTTATGATGATCAGTCCAAACAAAGGTAAGTTCAAGGGTTGTGTGGAGGAAACATGGATTGGATAGGAGAAAAGTTGAAGTGATAATGAGGAGGCAGATTGACAGAACTTGGTTATTCATAAATTGAGACAGAGGAGTCAGAGAGATCCCTAGATTAGTGATTTGAGGTACATGGCTAGACACCAAAGAAAAAGAGCATTAGGGAAAACCCTGCCAGGGGGGGAGGGGGGGCAGGGGTTCAAAGGTCGGGTAAAAGGTAATGAGTTCAGTTCTGAATATTGGAGGATGTGTGGAATACCAGGTAGGCTGTTGTTCACTAGGCAGTTAGATAAGTGGTTCCAAAGATCTGCAGATCTGGATTGACCATAAAAATGTGAGAGTGACCAGTTGTACATGGATTCGAATTAAAGTTCTGCAAGTATGTAGAATGAAAACAACAGAAGGCTATATGATGGGTCCCTCAGAGGAGCCCTAACATTTAAAACATTAACATTCTGAAGTGATGATTTAAA